CCTCATACTTTTTTTCGGTAGCACTTCTTAAAAGATATACAAAATACTGAACATCAGACTTGATTATAAATGATATTGCCATATATGAAACTCCGTCGACCTCATAACGCAAACGCCGTTTTCAGCTTTGCGACCCCTAAAAAGTCTTGAAATACGAGGAGCTCAAGAGACAGGCTTTTTTTGACGATTTGATAAGCCACCATTCATAGGAATGAAAAATAGAGGAGTCGAATAAAACTGTTGTGAAGAAATCAAAAGTCAGCGGCTTATAATTACAACGGCAGAAGGCAACAGGATTAAAAGAGCTCATAAATGGGACGGAGTAGCCACTGACTAAACGAATAGTGAATTGAGTCGGAGTCTTAAATACTCTGCTGCTTCATTCTATAAATTTATATATATAGCTTAATGACTCAACCATAAAATCGGGAATTATTTTGTTTATTATTTTAAAGGAGACTCAAAAACTATTTATACTCATTAGCACTTTACTCGTATGAGAAATGCAGATGGTGACTAAAATCATGAAAGAATTAATAAAACGCGCCCAAATGTATGCTTCAAAAAACAGCAAACTGCAAATAATTTGATAACATACTGAAAAAAAAAATTCTAATGAATATACCTCCTCTTTGTGGTATGTAAATATTTCCAAAATAATTTGGTTCGTTCTCAAAACATGGCTCCACCTACAAGTTTTGGCTGATCTGGGAAGCGATTATCTATTTCATTGCAAAGGTTTTACGTCTGTCTGAACTTGCAACAAGCTTGGATTTTCAATTAATTTTAATTGGAGGAATAGTGCAGCTGAATCCCATCGAATGCTTGTGAAAGTTTATGGTAAATTTGTGTCGATCGATAAGTCATGCAGTCTGACGCTTCAAAACTGTTAAAGAACGTCCTGAATGGACCAGATGGGAGTGGTGTACTATGAACTACTAAAGCCAGGCGAACCCATTGATGGAAAATGCTTTCGAAGTGTAATTAATGCGTATAAGTCAAGCTTTGCTTTAAAAACGGCCATAAACGATCGAAAGGCATGACAAAGTGAATTTGCAACGACAAGCCTTTTGGCGAAGCTCGGATCAACTTGGATGTACCGGTCAACAACTACCAGGAAATGTTGGGAGGTCTTATCTCACTCGCCACATTATTTAGACCTTGCTCTTTATGTATATTAGCTTTTTCAATGGATACAAAACGATTTGAGTGAGTACCAGGTTGGGTCTATTGCAAAAATTGGAAAATGGCTCATTGAATGGATCGATTACTGAGATAACTAATTTCCCAAAGAAGATATTTGAAAATTCGCAGAGAGATGGAAAACAATTTTAATGATGTATTTTTCAATAAAAAAAAATATAAAATCTTACTCATATAAAAAACGAATCGATTCGATTTTTGCTGCACAAAAAAACAAAATTAAAAGGATAACTCTTTTAGCGGTTCATTTTAGACATAATTACTTCTCTTCTGTTTTATGAAGTTGGAGTTCTATTGTGGCAGTCAATGTTCACTGTAAATTTGAGTAATTATTCTATTTTTCCCATTACCTTCGCCACTGCCATTGTGGCTGTGGCAGTCGCTACGTTGGAGAAGCTTCAGTTAAATGGGAGAGTTGCGCTTAGCCTAAAAGGATTTGTACTGTACATCCGTTGCGGCGATTTGTAGCGAAATAAAATTTACAGTTGATTTAATTTAGAAAATGAAATAATTGTTATTCGAGTGATGCAGACAATATTTTTCAAAAATAATCTTAACAAAGGGTTTGCAATAATTAAATACTTAAAAAAATTTTGATTACTTAATAATTTATTTGTTTCAATAACTCATAAGTACAAAAGTTATTTTCTTTGTGCTGGTGGTTAGAAGAAACCACATACGCGCAAGCTTTATCTGAATTGGCTCTCTTAAACGCTAAAAGCGATGACGTCCTGTTTTGGCGCCCTGCTTCCAATGTTCGGTCGACATAATCGTCCATGGATAGATTTCCCCACCCGGCTTACTTTAGTGCGTGCCCATATATTGTACTAGACGCTACTTTTGCTGAGATCGGCTTTTTTGAGGATGGGGCAGAGCACACTTAAGTTCCAATCATCGGCATGCTTTCATCTGATCATATTTTGCAAAGAAGCTGACGCATGCAAATTATCAGTTCTTCTCTGCAGTACTTGAATAGACTGGCCGGTAATCCAATGGTCCACGTCTTTTTGTTGTTTCTTAAGTGGACTTCTTGGTAGTCAGGTAACGAGAAAACTTTTTAATCGTCATCGGGTTCACCATCTCCGAGTGTATAATTTTCAATGCCATTCAGTAGGCTGGGGAAGTGTTACCTCCATAAATTCAATATACTCTGGGCATGGGTGGCTAGATCACCTCTTTGTGTCCTATAAAAGTCTGCTCCGGTCTTGAAACCTTCTGTAAGTCGTCGTATCTTTTGGTAGAATTTTCAAGCAGTACCTTTGTCCGCCAGCTTCTCAAGTTCCTCGTACTCACGCATTTCCCTGCAAATGCGTCTTGCTTCCCACTTCAGTTCTCGGTATCTACCCGAACCCGCACGTAGGTCTGTTTTTTCTCCACTGCGACACGACAGTCCTCATCGTACCGGTTGTTTTTACAACTTTTACGAAAACCAATAGTTCCGTTTGCAGCTGAACGTCAGGAGCTTGAAATGCCGTTCCACAGTTCCCTTATACCGGATTGCTGATGAGTGCTCTCAGAGAGCAGAAGTGCAAGTCGAGTGGAAAACTGCTCGGCAGTCTGTTGTGGTTAAAGCTTTTCTACATGAAACTTTCCTTGTGTTTGTTGACGGGTGTTCTTCGATACACAGAGGCGGGTGCGTATCTTCGCTGCGTCAAGTTAGTGATCCAAGTCGATGTTAAGACCTTGGATCGTCCGCACATCTAAAATACTGGATACATATCAGTAAACTAAAACGCTACAATGTATATATTTTGCTTTGGCTGAAGCTCAATTAGGATTTTTCATAATTCTTAAGCTATCATCTCCTATACAATATCCATTATAATATCTAAATTAAAGAAGACTCAAAAAATACATTGTAATTAAAAAAGCTTATAACTGTTTATTTGGAAATATCATTATTCCAAGTGAGACTTGCCTTTCTTACTAAGGAAAATAAACACAAAACGGCTCATCAACGCTCGTAATCTCCGCCAAAAAGCAACAGTTTCAGCAATCGCGTGCAACAACAAAACCCACTGTGTATGTATGAGTATGAGTGTATATTTTCCATTTCTCTTTCACACTTTTCATGCCACAAAATTACTTAATAATTTCAGAAATCACAAATCATTTGCTGGAATTAGCTTGTTATCTCTATGGCACTGCAACTAAGCCGAACTAACGGTATTGAAGCAACAACAAACAAAAGCAAAACAAGAAACCAAGCAATGAACTAGGCAACCAACGAACTAAGAATGAAACAGTTAGAGGAATGAAACAAGCTTGATGAAGCCAACAGACAGGATGAACACGCAAATGCAACAAAACGTCGGACGCGCGGCTTGCACTGTGATTCTATTATTTTTGGAAAGTGGCCAAAACAATTTATCTGCTTTGAAACAAAGCGCGCACGCAAACGAACATACCAACACATATGTACATATATGCATATACAGTATAGTATTCGTTCATATATATACATATATAGATATATAGATAGTCATTGATACAGAGCTAGAGCCTTGGAAATAAAAACGTTATTTCGGTTGCTTTTCTTTTTGTGCGAGCATGCGACGGTTGCGCGGTAGACACATTGCTGCTGGCACGGCCTATTGAGTTGTCACACACGCGGGACATATGCACGTATATATATATATATATACACGTATATATTCGCGTACAAAATACCAGGACGCGATTGCTCGACACAAATTGGAAATGCATATGTCAGCACTGGCAGTCAGCGCTCGCTGATATCTGTGTGCTTAAAAATATTCCTCTGTGTGTGTGTGTGTGTGTGTGTGTGCTCTGGGACGTGCTGCACTGTTATCTTTATTCAACTACTGCTGCCGCTGCTATTGTTGCTGTTGTTGTTATTTTGTATTCCTGCTCTTTGTTGTGTTCGGTCTAATGACTGATTGCGAACTTTTGCCAAAAATTGCTGACAACGTAGCCAAATCATAAAAGAATACAAACACAAAATAAATAAATTTTCCAAAAAATAAATAAAACTAAATCTTCACACCTGCACAATGCTTGGACTGGGTGTATAAACACTGTTCATAGAGCAGTTACTTTTAGTAATGAAAAATCTCTATATCCGTCTTTTGTTGCTGCCGTTTAACAAAATTTCGACCAAATCTTCTCCTATGGGTATCATCGCACGATTAATGGCTGGGAGGCATTGATTTTAAAGAGAAACTTCAAAGATCTTGGTCGGAGCGAAGTTTAAACCATCTCTTGTCCTTACTTCTTTTTTTTAATTGGCAGTTACATTTTCTTATTTTTTATTTCATTAAACTTTTGATTCAATCTTAGTTCTCTTTATTCCAATTACCCTAATTTTTTAAAGGGTTACAAAGGCCAAAAAAAAAACTTATTTTCTCTCATTTTTTTGCAAGATATTTTATTTTGTAAGCATGTAAGATTACAATGTTTGGACACCATTTGATGAAAATTTTAATGAAAAAGACTATAAGTCAAGGCGTTAGTAGTGTCGTGAAGTAGACCGTCCACAAGAAAGTGCTTTCGCGATAGTCATGATAACTTTTTAAATTTTTATCTGATATCAAAATTCCAAAGTTTTTCTTAATTTTCTTTGTCACTGAATGAAGAAAAAATTAAAAAAAAATTAAAAATTGAAATTTTTCAAATATTTTCTTATAGCCTATTTCCACCAAGCACTTAAATGCATTTAAGGCCTCTGTTAAGTGAATGAAATGTCAAACGTTTCCACCGAAAGTGAGTTAACTCAAACAGCTGATTTTTGTTTACATTTGAAACTTGAAAAATTTGTCATAAGTATTGAAATCATGAATTCAAGAGACCGTATTCATTTTATTTTGCTATTTATACAATATTATGATTTGCAAGTGCAGATTATTGCTGCACGAGCAGACGCTGCTGAGACAAAAGTGCTTTTTTGTATGCTTACAACTTTTTTGGAGATTGCACGCAATTTTCTTTTAGTTATAAAAGAATATAGGGCAAAAAGAAAAAGTCCACTTATTTGGAGAAAGGTATGTACATATTATTATTAACTAATCATAATTGTAATTATTTTAATGGTGTTCCTTAGGAACGAACGAGCTTATTTTGGGAAAAGGAGTGCCAAGAATGTAGCGATTTAGATTTCAAGAACATCTTCCGCTTGGAAAGGCGGTCCTTCTTCGAATTGTGTGACATTTTGAAAGGTATCGGAAAAGAAGATACCAATTACCGCAAGGCTATTACCCTTGAAAAGCGTATCGCTATTGCGCTATATGCACTTGGTTCCTCTGCAGAGTACCGAACAGTTGCAAGTTTGTTCGGTGTGTCCAATTCTAGCGTATGCAGAATTGTTAGAGAATTTTGTGCTGCGGTTTGGAATGCTTTGAAACCTAATTATCTGAATTATTTTCCATTAACTGAGACGGTGGCTCAGACTATTGTAAATGATTTTAACAATATGGGATTTCCACAATGCATTGGAGCGTTAGGTATGATGGGATGCAAATAATATTGAGATTTATATTAATATAAATGTGTATATGTACATAAATAAAATTAGATGGATGTCATATTGAAGTCAAACCAAAAAAAGAGGACGCTGTGGATTACTACAACTATAAAGGATGGTATTCTGTGGTGCTGTTGGCTTTAGTTGACTCAAGGTTGGCAAATCTTTAACTTACTTAAGTAATAAAATAGATTTCAATTTGTATGTAGGTATAGGTTTCTATATATAAATGTTGGCAGTCCAGGAAGATGCAACGACTCTGGAATTTATGAAAGATCCTCATTAAAAGCAGAACTATTGCGTTGCAAGTTGCTTTATGATCAACGGAAATCTTTTAACAATGTGGAAATCCCATTAGTTATTATAGCAGACTCAGCTTTTCGTTTGTCGCGCAACGTTCTTAAGCCGTTTCCATTTAATGTGGAAAATACAACTGCACAACGCGAATTCAACTACCGCCTTTCTCGTTGCCGCAGGGTTGTTGAAAATGCATTTGGCCATTTGAAGGCCAGATTTCGACGCATTGGAAAAGGGTTGGATAATCGTATCGATAATACAAACGCTATAATAAAAGCGTGCTGCGTACTTCACAACTTTTTGATTTCACAGAGAGATTATATTACCGACACCTGGCTTCCTGATCCTGGCTCCATGACTGAAGAGCAAAGTAGAGTTGTTCCACTGAACGAAAGAAGACTTAACCTAGGAGACTGCTACCGAAACGCTTTAAGCCAACACTTTGCCCAAGAGTAATTTTAAACATATTTATCTAGAAATTCATATCACATTAATTATTTTTTATTACAGCCCAATTCAGTCTTCAATTTAAACATTAAATACATACATATATTATATTAATATTAAAAAAAACAAAAAATGTAAATAAATTAAATATTGAAATTCAGGTACTACCACTACTATGTACATTTAATTATTTTTGTTTAAAAACTCCATCATTTTTGTCGCTAACATCTGGCTTGTTTCGCACATTGCAGCGAGGCTTTCCGTTTTTCTTTTATCGTTTTCCGCCAAGTCTTTTAAAGCGCTTTCAATGTTCTTGCAACATTTATCAATCGTAGCAGTTATCTCCTGCAAATTCGCTGTAGCTGGGTTTTGTTGTCGGCTCGAGCGCGTATGTTGCGCTGAGCTCGACGTTGATTGCTGCTCGCTATCCGAGGGTAACCCTTGTGTCGAAAACGCAGGAGATATCGCAATCGGGGACATCGATGGCACCTGTGTATCCACTAAATTATAATACGAAATACATATTAAAATATAAAATTAGAGTTTATAATTTTGGTAGAAAAATACATACAACTGAAACTTTCCTCCACAACACCTTCCACATTCATCGAACGGTAGCCGCCAACAATTTTAGCCATTTTTTCAAATAAAGGCCATGTTGGCGGCGATGCTCCGGAGGGTCCCATTTCTGCTTTCAACTTTCTGCATACACATGTTCACAAGAAAAACAACTTATAAGTAAATATTTAATATACTTATTACAGCAACTTACTTGTATTTGGAAATCAAGTTCTGCATTTTGAACTTAACCTCAATGCCAGTAACTTCTATCCCCGCCTGCGTTAACTCCACCGCCATTTCTTTGTATATGTGGGAGTTTTTTCGGCAACCTCTCAAATCCTGAGCTCTTCCTTCCCAGCAATCCAGGAAACTTTGCTCCTCCGTAAGGTTCCACTTGCGCCGTCTTGCTTCCATTTTCAGTTTTGTGTACTTTTTATTTATTTTGCGCAATCAGCTGATAGCTGCCAAAGCCACGTATATTTTTATGTTGAGGGGATCGTTTGAAATTCCACAATTGCTTTATGTTTGTTTTTTATTATATTTTTTGAAAGAGGAGGAAGCATTCTCTTCGCCAATTACTTGGTACATGCATTTGAGTTAAAACTAATGCAAAGAAATAATTTTTACACAAAAAATTTCACTATGAAAAATAAAAATCTCGCCCCTCATTAAATCCGAAAATACACGACTCTGGCAAGAAATACACCGAAACTTCTGAAATGATTACATTAGTAGTGACAGCATCGACTGTTAACATAACATTTTCTGTTAAATTGCCGAAAGTGAGTTAACTCACTTTGAAAAGTGAGTTAACACACTTTTATACAACAACAAACACATGGGAATTACCGCATTTAAATGCGATGTTTAACTGCATTTAAGCTAAAATGCATTTAACGTCCGGTGGAAATAGGCTATTAAAGTAGGTGAATTTTCTTTGTCCCTGAATGAAGAAAAAATTTAAAAAAAAATTAAAAATTGAAATTTTCAAATACTTTCTTAAAGTAGGTGAATTTTCTTTGTCCCTGATTGAAGAAAAAATTAAAAAAAAAAATAAAAATTGAAATTTTTCAAATATTTTCTTAAAGTAGGTGAATTTTCTTTGTCCCTGAATGAAGAAAAAATTTAAAAAAACTAAAAATTGAATTTTTTTTGCATAACATTAGGCCTCATATTGGCTTGTAAAATGAGTTGAAATCAAATATAAAATAAATCCTTCGTTCAGGGATTACAAAAACATACTTAAAAGAAGATTGGAAAATTTGAACTCGATCGAACTCGATCGCTTCAATAGTCGTTGAGAAATTTTGGCTGCCGATTTCGATAAAGCGATTTTAAGAAAAACGCTTTTAAAGTTTCGCCATCGGTCAAACCATGACAAAGACGGCGAGTTATAAAACTGTCTAATTTCTATATTATCGTCTCGATCGACTTGAAACTTGGGGAAAATATTCCCGACACTTTGTACTGTTATACAAAAAATTATCAAAAAAATTAATTGATTGAAATTTCAAGACCTTTGATTTAGATTTAAATAGATTTAGTTTTATTCAGTTATATACCATATTCTGGAGCATTGTTCTACTCTATGAATTTCCGTACATTTTATTCAAAGTTTTGGAAGTTTATTATCTTTAAATTTTATATAACTTCCATTTCATTTATTTATTTTATATATTTTCATAAAATTTTTAATTCGATATTTTATTAATTTCTAGCAAAATTTAATATATAAATTAATTAATTTTTTTTATTTCATCCAGTATACATATAAGGTTCCCAACTATGCTTTATAAAAAATAGATATAAAATTCTAAACACAAATAACATTTCTATAATTCCAGCGGCCCTTAGAGTTATTTAAAAATTCATGCACCGACCATTCAGAGCTCTACCTTACTAATTGTTATGCACTTTTTCATTCTTGATTTCGGCACTGCAGGCAATGCAATGAATTTATTACACACAAAAACACACACACAAACACATACAAACATACAAACATTCATACATTTGTCATGTCATCTAGTGAGCTTAAATGCCTAGCAATGTTAGCATATTTTGAGGCGCCTGCAAAATTTCCAACCACGTATGCCACTCTGCTGCCTGTGGCTATGCATAGAAAATGGAAATTATTTTATTGAAAGCTATTTTTTCGCCTTTATTATTATATTTCATTTTTATTTTTATTTTTTTTTTGTTGAATTTGTTATTGCTTTTAACTGCTAACTAAACGAAAAATTTTATAGATTTCCTTTTACATAGTTTTGCAGTATCCTTTGTTATTTTCGCTGTCGCTATTCTATCGCAATTTGATAATCGCCAAGCACATTTTTCACTACTAAATTCAATTTTCTCGTGCTCTAAAGCAGCGCCTTTTTGTTTTTGTATTATAGCTTTGCACTCAATAAATTTTCATGGCAGAGTGTATTAAAAGAAAAATTCATTTCGCATATTTCCCCCATCACCGGTATTTAGGACAAGCATATGAGTAAAAAAAATAAATTTTCCTTCCCATTTTTGTACTTTTTTACCAATTTTTTTTTAAATGCTGTCCTTACCATTTACTTGCCGGCTAACGTGATTGCCGCGCGCTGTCGCTGGAAAGCAAAGGTGTGGCAGTTGAAAAGGCCGTGCGCCTAAAAGGCTATTAAACTTCAATTTATTTAAATTTTTTTCGCTTTTTTTCCGCATATAAGCGCTCAACGCTTTAGTGTTTAGTATTTCGCACCTCTGCTTTGGACTATCGAAATTTCATTTACAATTTTACACTCAGTTACTTTTTGCTTTGAACTTTTGTTCTTTATTTGTTTAGGGATTTTCACCTTTTTTTTTTGCCTTTTTTTCTTTTCAAATACTAAAAGCTCTTGTTATTTTAAATTAGCTTTCGCATTACTTTCTATACACACTTTTGCTTTCGAAATTCCAATTTACATTTTGAAACACTTTTAGTTGCGCACCTTTTTTCACTATACTTTAGCTGCTGTTTTTTTTCATGTTTTTCTTGTTATTTTTGTCATTGTTTGCGCAAACATTAAGGTCCTTTTAGCTTAGTTGGCCCTTGTGCGTGCTTAGGTGGCTGGCAAGTGTTTAGCCTTTTATTCAATTTTAAGTTTTTTGTTTTGCTTCTCTTTTAATTTTATTTTTATTACTTTTATAACTTTCATCTACTTGACAATACGTAGCCCACCTGCGTCTAAACTAACCTTGCTTTCAACGAGCGTTGGCTAACCGCTTTTCACTTTTCCCCAACAACCGTTAGAATTTAGCTACATTTCGCATTCACGTTTTTCAGCTGAATTTTTTATGAGCACTTTTTGTGTATGCAGCGGATAGAAAAAAAACTCACAACGTACTAGAAAATGATGATGTTGTTGATGAAAATTCAGACTGAGGAAATATTTAGTACTCAAAGTAATTTTTTCTATGCCAGCAACAAACTGTGCGCTACTTTCCGCCTCTTTACGACTGTATTAAATCCTTTCACAATAACACGTACCGCGGCGTATACCGTAAATACATATTTATTTTTATTTTACTTTATTTATTTTTTTTTTTAATTTTTTTTATTTTGTATAAACCGACCGAACTTATCATTTGCATAGAAAAATGTTGCATAGTTTTAGGCTTATGCGAAACATATGCGTGAATGTTTAATACACTTTTAGGCGCGTGTGCCTATGACGACACTAAAATACCATTAAATGCCACTTTCAAACACAACAAGGTATGCCTGTGTGTGTATGTGTAAACTTAATGTAAATGCAAATCCTTTTGCATACACAGCAAACTACATTTAATATGTAAGCATATATCTACATCTGTATGTGTGTCTATATAGTCACCATCAAACCATTAACCGACTACCAGCATCATCGGCAATAGCAATTGTGCCACCTCCGCCAATGTTAATGCCATTTAATCTCAAATAGTCACAAGCCCGAAAACCCAAAAACGAAACAAGCAAAACGCTCAGACTAACGGTAAAACAAATACACTACATATACATATATTGCGGCAGTATTAGTTGCAAGTAGATATGTTTGCGAATGTGGCTGGTTGAGATTGTATAAGCAACAAAATGTTTGTTGTTCTTGTTGTAATTGTAGATTTCTTGTTATTTTTGTTGTTGAGCTTAATTTTATTTTTGCAATTTTTGTTGTTGTTCTAAACATTCATTTTTGTTGTTGTTGTTGTTGTTGTTGTTGTTTTTATCGTTGTTGCTATTCAGATTGTTGTTGTTGTTGTTGTTCTAAAACTTTATTGTTGTTGCAAGTGGCGCTTTTTTGTTATTGAAATTGTGGCTTTACGAAATTGTTGTTGTTGCTGTTGTCAGCGTCCATGTTGCGGCTGTTGTTGTTGTTGTTGTTGTTGCAATTCGCTACTAAAGCTCACATTATATCTGTATAGATATATCTAGCTAGTTATGTATACATATGTATGTGTGTGCCTCCTTTAAGCCAAATCAAATCACAACTAATACACACTCCCACTCACAAACACACACATACACACACACATTGAACTACTGTTCATAATATGTTTGTGGGGCCTATGTTCCTGCCTTAACAGTTTTTTTTTTCTTATTTATTTCTAATTATTATTTTCGATTTTCCTCCGCTAAACACGTCCAAACTGTACGAAATGCCGGCACCGACTGACTTCTAAAATCGCATTCACAGCTTTGTATCATCTTCATTGGCTGTTTACCAAGCACACATCAACACATTCACACATACACGCATAGCCAAACGAACACGTATTTGACAGTTACTGCGACAGCGATGCTGACAGCGACTGCAACTGCTGCTGCTACGACATAAATCGTTCACATCTAGCATCCTTGCGCTCGGTCGCTAGGTATTTTTGTTGCTGTTGTTGTTACTAGTTTCCTTGCTACGTTTTGCTTTTGTTCGTGTCGTTCAGCTAACAGCTGTTGGCTACGCAACGACCGCCACTGCTTCAGGGCTTCAGCGTCACGGTTCTTGTTTCTCTTTTTCAATTTGTAACTGTTGCAAGCCAACATAACTATACAGTTACAAAAGTACTTGCAACAGATACACTAGACCACCACCCACTCTCCGCACCCATTTTTACTATGCGTCTCGCTCTTTGGCTCAGTTGCTTTGCTTCTCTTAATTCAACATGCAACACTCTCTTGAATATCTGTCTGTCTGGGTGTTATTTTGCTTGATTTTTGTTTAGTTGCCGACTGTTGATTTGCTTTTATGCGCGCGCATACACAAATTTGTCTACAAATATAAACGAAATTCCATTGTTGTTTTTTTTGTATTTTTTTTTTTTTTTTTTTGTTGTTCTGAGAGCAAATAGTTGCATTGTATTGCTCAGCTGATGAGCGTAGTTTTCCTGAGTGTACGATTGGGTGGTTGAGTGTAGGGTGGCCACTTGTATAAATATGTGCATACGTATGCTCATGCAAATATAATTTTAGGTAATGCTTTTTACTATTCAATTTCTTATAATTCAGTTAAAATTT